TAAACATACATAAATGGGGGCAACATGTTTTTAAAAAGCTTTAAGCATAGGGGCCACACTCCATTATGTGGAGACCCCTTGCCCATGAGAAAACACCACAGGGGGAGCTGTTACTTCTTTGTCTTTGCATTTCTAAGTTATGGCAATAAGCTTGGCACATATTTTACACTCAATACAGTTTGCTGTATTTTTTTAAAAGAGGGGGGAGCACTTTGCAGTGGCATAGAATGAGAATTTTAGAACTAGAAAAATAAACTGAAACCAAACTCCTCATTTTCCAACAAGGAGACAGGTTTAGGAAGGTTAAATCACATAGCTAATGGAAGTATGGTGAAAGAAATGTTTTAAGAAGATTGATCTGACATAGATCTATGGGATGCTTCAGAGGAGAAGAAGACTAGAAGCAACAGTATGTGTTAAGAGACGATTGCAATCATCAAAGCATGCAGTAATGAGAGTGTAAACTAGGATGATGGGAAAGGAATGAGAAGCAGAGGAGGATCTGAAAGACATTGAAAATGCAACCCTTGGCACTGCTTTTTCACTGTCAGTAAGATTTAATCTTGACCTATTTCTACACAAGCTGGTATCAATCATGATACCCAGATATTTTTACCCATGGCCCCAAACTGCACAAAAAAGACATAATTAGCAATTCTTTGACTCATCTAGGGCCTCTGAGAGTGATTCATACCCTTCGCTACACAATTATCCACCATAAATATAGTTTCACCTCTGTTTATTCCAAGCAATGGTTCTTTATAATGTCCATCTGTATGCCCCTTGCTCTATTGCTATAGGACTGAGTCCAGCCTCTTTACCTTTTGAGGACCTCCATATTTTTTTCTCCTCCACCTAAGATAATCAATCTTCACATTGTTCTGTAATGCAACAGTAAGGAATCTTTCAGAATCAGGATAGCAAGTTTTATTTATCTTCCCTAAACATGCTAAGATCAAAGAAATGAATCAAAGATTCATTTGCATTAATTTCATCTTTTGAAATGGACATAAAATAAAGTAAATGTCTTCAATAAGAAAAGCTAGTTGATCTCTTTTGTTCAAGACCAACAACCCCGAGAAAATCAAACTTTTGGTAGTAGGTAGGAGGGAAAATAATTTAGAGAAGCCCAGGGAATAATGGGTGAGAAAGGCCAGGATAAAATCTAGACAGGCAGAAGGCAATCACTGGGTAGAGAGCGTCTGACATACAAAGAAGGAGATCAGGGTGGGATGGATGGGGATACCAGAAAAGAGGCATAAATACCCCAAAGACAAACACGTGTAGAGGGTCAAGAGAGCTGACAGTTGTTTCACATATTGGTGGAAATACTGCATGATCCCCTTGTGGCCCTGAAGCCACTCAAGGCCAGACCTAAACCAGTTCTTCTGCCCTGAGCCATCTAGTTTTCTTCCATGCTCTCAACCCTACTGTCCTCCAATCTTTGAGGATCCCACCTATCCAAACCTTTCTCACTTCCCAAGTTCCAGATCAATCTCCTCTCTTCCCTCTTCCCTCCCTGCTCTAGCCAACCACACTCCTTCTCCTCTATCATTTAAATGCCATCTTGCATTGTTTTGAATTCAGGCCTGGCCTCTAGTAAAAGTGAAATCCCTTGGGAACAGTTTTTCTGTCATATAACTTATGTCCCTCCTACCGAAAAGGAGCACAGAGTTAAGTGAATTCAGAATATTTTGGAACTATCAGTGTTTCTATTCTGTTTTTCTCCAATTATCATTTAAAGCAGCATAGATCTTATAGTTTTAGAAGCAGTTTCTTATTTGGGGATTGGTTTATAAACTACATGGTTGAAAATACATCCCAGCCAAGGATGTATATTTTTCTCTACAGCTGATGATGAAGAAATGAACAAAGCGGAGCTTAAAAAGACCAATATAGTCAATGCACTTAGACAAATGTCAGCAGCTGCCTGAAGATTTCATACTTAGAATGGTTAGTCGGCTAGAGATTGGGTCTATTATAAGAATTTGTTTCCTCTGCAAAAGAAAAGTTGAAAATATTAAGTCTTAATGAGAGTTCTACAGGCCTGGGAACATAATGCAAAACAAAACAAAACAAAACAAAATCCCAAAAACCAAAACCAAAAAGACCTAATTACAAAACAGTTTTCCAAGTACAAAGATTTCCAAGTACAGCAAAATAATTTAAAATGCAGTTTGTCTTAAAAAATAAACTATGTATATTTCTGTATGTTTGATACTCAAAGAATGGAAATAGGCACATCAGTTTCATTTGTGCCATTTTTTTTTAACTTATTCATACATTCACTTGTTGAATGTATGATATATGCTGGGCATTGTGCCAGACCAAAATAAGATAGCCTTTCCCAAAAGGATGTCAAACTGTGTGATTAAAAACAATGCTTTGAAATATGCCAAATGCTTTAATGGGAATATGCACCAATGACTAATAGACATGGGGTTCATTAAATGGGTAGTGGAACTGTGTGAATTAGATAGTATGTATATACCTAACACTACCATTTTAACTACGGTTTCTGGAAATCAAGACTTTACTACAAGGTAAGCAGAAGCTAAGGTCCCAGTCAACCTCATTTGTGATCAGAGGGTGGGAGTAAGCCAAAACTGGAAGAAGGTAAAATGACCTGTAGTGAGTCTACAATGTGCTAGGCATTTGGTTAGTCACTTTCTACAGAATATCTCATTTAATCCCTTTCTACAGAATATCTCATTTAATCCCCAAACCCCAAACCACGACAGAGTTGTTTACAGTGGAGAAAACTGAGACTTGGAAATATTAACTAATTTACCTCAAATCACAGTGATCATCCTAGTACAGACAGGATTCCAACCCTGTGGTCTGGCTCACAAATGTGTACAGAGTCTCATCTACTTACTTCTCGCCTGGAAAGGCATGTTAAAAGTGGTTTCAGCAGCTGGGGGGAAAGTGAGGAAGCTCTGAGTGCAGATTTAGACAAGTTGGCTAAGAAAAAGGGAGCAAGAACTAAGGGCAGATCATGACAAAATGATCCGAGAATTAAGTGGTCAAATTAGATTTAGTGTGGTACTTGTTTTTTTGTTTTGGCTTTTTGTTTGTTTTACAAACTTCAACATGGCAGTGATTATGTGATCAAGATCTTGGCACCTAATTTTTAGGTGTAAAGTTACTGCATCTCCAAGTAAAGCTTCTAATGGCTAAGGACATTTCAGAGGCTGAACACAGTTTATTAAGTAAATGGATTCTGAAAAGTAAAGACCAAAGAATGGAGGATCAGAGGCTGCAAAACAAAGGCCTCTGCTAAAGGCATGTGCCTCAGCTAAATCATTTCTTATGACCAGTGGAACAACCAGGACTGAGGTATTATTCTAAGCCTACAAAACGGAAAACACTGACAACAGTCATATGGGGTAGGTGTTCTGCTGCATCTGACTTGGCCCCAGATGGGATAATAGATAACACTTTACTAGAACAGGGTTTATATTCAGCAAATAGTGATTGCCTGATAGAGTGGATTTCATCCAGAGTTCATTAGAAAATACTTCATCAAAGTTAGAAGGCTGGTATAGGCTATGATTTAGCAAAAACGAAAGAGCAGTCAAGGATGTAAGAATAGGAAAGATGAATAAGACAGATGGGGGAGACACTATTTTTTTCTTTTTAAGTTTCCCAGTTTTGCAAGATGAAAAAGTTCTGGGGGCGCCTGGGTGGCTCAGTCATTAAGCGGCTGCCTTCGGCTCAGGTCATGATCCCAATGTCCTGGGATGGAGTTCCACATCCGGCTCCCTGCTCAGCAGGGAGCCTGCTTCCCCCTCTCTCTCTCCCACTCCCACTGCTCGTGTTCCTGCTCTTGTTGTCTGTCAAATAAATAAATATTTTTTAAAAAAAGTTCTGGAGATGGACAGTAGTGATGATTACCCAACAACATCAATGTCCCTAACACCACTGAACTGTATATTTAAAATGGTCAACATGGCGGTGTTGTGTATATTTTACCACAATTAAAATATAAATTTAATTTTGCTTAGCTATTAAAGTAAGATAAGTAGAAAACACACACATTTTAAAACATTTTTAAAAATTTTTGTTTACTAGAGGTGGGACGAGCTAATTTAAATGGTCTGCGGGAAAGTATTTGCAGCTTCTGCAGATTTCAGAATAACTTGATACATAAGTAGTTTTTTTTTTTTTAAGATTTCATTTATTTATTTGACAGAGAGAAATCACAAGCAGGCAGAGAGGCAGGCAGAGAGAGAGGAGGAAGCAGGCTCCCGGCTGAGCAGAAAGCCCGACGTGGGGCCCGAACCCAGGACCTGGGATCATGACCTGAGCCGAAGGCAGCGGCCTAACCCACTGAGCCACCCAGGCGCCCTGACACATAAGTAGTTTTAAGAAAAACCAGAAGAAACTCTTAATTTCAGGAAACAAACTGAGGGTTCCTGGAGGGTGCGGGGGAGGGTTAGGGTGGCTGCGTTGCGGACATTGGGGAGGATACGTGCTATGGTGGTGAGTGTATTCGAATTGTGTAATGCTGATGATTCACAGACCTGTACCCCTGAAGCAAATACTACATTATATGTTAATAATAATAATAACAACAATAAAGAAATTCTTAACATGCGTGGGCTTGCGGAATTCAGAGCAAATGTAGTTTTCAGGAATATGCAGATTTTTCAGTTCCACGCCCCAACTTTTTTTTTTTTTAAGATTTTATTTATTTGACAGAGATCACAAGTAGGCAGAGAGAGAGGAAGAAGCAGGCTCCCTGCTGAGCAGAGAGCCCGATGCGGGGCTCG